TTAGCCTACAGGATCCAGATCCATATTATGTTGATTGCAAAATCTTTTTTTCAAATTAACAAAAAAATCAACGGATCGAAAAGATAGCTAAGCAGGAAAATGTCAAGTTTAGTGCTATTAATCCTAATCGAGTATGCTAATAATCTAGTACCGTGAGAACAAGCACATGAAGGCAAATAGGTATAATTCTTTAACAATTATAATTAATTACTTGTTTGAGGAAATACTAATAATAGCATCAATTGTTAGAATTATATACACTATGGGTAACTCGTCTCAGTTTATACATCAATTGACACTATACATTCACATGCACATAGTGCCTTACGACTCTTGTTTTTTTAATTGATAATCTTTCTAAGAACATTGAATATGTGTATTCAATCTTGTCTTTTTTTTGTGATTGCTTTTCTACTCTATCATGATTTTTTTTCTAATTTATTTAAACATCAGGGCTTGACTTTTTTTTTAGCTTTACTTTTCTATTTTATTGTGGTCTTCGCAAAATAATCTTAAACATACGAATTTGAATTTTTTTTCTGCAGTCAATTTTTTTTTTTGATCTTATATTATTTGACAGAACTTTACTTGTATCAGAACATTGTACCAGTATATTAAAACTCCATATATTAAACTGTTACAATGTCAACTATACCAACACATTCTCAAGATGAATTTGATAAATTCGATGAATATGAACTACCCCTCTTATATCAAGATAAAATACACCTGGATGAATCATATCCATATGAATTAAACCCAGACGAATTATATGCATATGAATCATATCAAGATGAATCATATCCAGATGATTCATATCCAGATAATTCATATCAAGATGAATCATATCCAAGTAAGTTATTTCAAGGAGAATCTTACCAAGATGAATTATCTCAAGGCAAATCATATCCGAATAAGTTATCATCACAGACAGAACACGTAGAATGCGATGAGACTTCTGCAAAAACCAAGTAATTGTACATAAAGTGATATTAACCTCAAGTTTTTTTTTTTATTTATTAATTTTTATTTTATTTTATAGATCTTTTGTGTGGAAGTATTTTAAAAAACAAGAAGATGGTGCAAGCGTGAAGTGTGATATATGTAAAAGAGTATTGGTTTATAATAAAGGGACAACATCCAATCTTAAAAAACATCTCAAACTG